GGGCCGGGCCGGGCCGGGTTGCGCCGCGCGGGGCCAGGGCCCGGGATCCTGGGGCTGCCTGGGCTCCCGGGGCGGCGGGGCTGAGTCGAAGGGGATTTTCTGGCCTTCTCGGGAGCTTTATCCATCGCCTTTTTCAGTGAAATCGGGGCCGTTTTGGGGCGGGGGGGTCCCTGAAGAAGTGGCCAGGCTGAGGCCCAACATGGAGGACGAGGGGGGAAGGAAGGTGGGAGATGGCCTGGGTGCAGTCAAACAATACATTTATCTTTGGGCTTAAATATTTCACTCCTCCATAGGCCCTGTCAGCATCCCAGTCCTAATGCTTGCAAACTTCAAGATCAGGTGGCAGCCTTGGGGTTGGATGTATCTTGACTGTTATATAGAAGGATCCCGAGGGACTCTGGCTACTTGTTTCACTATTGCAGAACTGCTGCCAGCAAAAAATCTCTCTTTTGCAACTTGCAAATGCTTGCAGTTACGTCTTCTGGTTAACTGCTCCAATCTGAGTTCTTATGATGCTGGGTTCAAGCATATTAGGCATCCTGGTGGTCCTCAGCTTCCTCTGAAACATCCCTGTGCCTCAGAACGCCCTGTAAAAAGGACATTTTTTAACCACGGGTGCAAGTGCAGGTTTTATGTCATTAGTTTCACCATGTGGTCTTGGGTTACACCAGACAAAGTAACAACCTAGTTTTGTTCTGGATGAATCCACACTTGAATGTCATATACAGTGAACACATGGGGGTTGGAAAAAGGACCATGCTTGTATTGAGATGCCTTTCTCTGAGTAATGTAAACTTCCTTTTAATTGTCATGCATTTTTCTAGTAAAAGCTCTGCAAGTCTGCAATAAAAATGGCCTCCAATAAAACTACATTGGTAAGTTCATGCACACCTAAAATATTTAAGGATTTAACCAACATATTTTTTTTTCAAAATTATAACTTGGCATCTCTATGTAAAAGATACATCCACATCTCCCCTCCCCAGCATTATTCTGACTAAAATCTCAGATCCAGAAAGTAAGGCTATGAGAAAGGACATTGACTTTGGCTTTAAAAATCTGCCATCTAATGAGATGCATTCAATTTTTTTTAAAGGAGGACTCTACTCCATTTCAGCTGTCCAGTTGTCAACTAGAATAATAGTTAACCATTACCAGAAAACACTGAATTTTTTTAGCCTCCTTTCAGCACACCATATAATCCATTGCACATAAAAATAGCACTTAATTTTTCACTAGGAGTTTAGAACAAACTGCTGAAATCAAGCAATTTCTGAAATTAAATACCAATACAGAAAGGTAAGGTGATGGGGCATAGCTAGGGTTGCCACTGAAATTGTTTAATTGAACAACAAATTTGCGTTTCATAACTGTAGAGGTTACCAAATGTCTACTTCACCTGGACAGTTTTCATGGTGGAATCGTGTGTCAAACGATGGACCACAAACTTGGAATTTAGGGCAGGCGGATGTCTCAGTAGTTCTGATGTCCACTCAACAAATGACAGGACATGTTTGCAAAGGACAGAAGTGCATAAGCCTAGTGTTAAATATACCCAATAAGGGAAAAAAATGGACAAACAAATCTATGTGCTTTGGAAAAGGAACAACTTTGTCTGTTGTGGGAAAAAAAATGCCGTTAAGCTGGTTACTGTGCAGTTGACTATATTTTAGGTAAACTTTTAAATGCTTGCATTATTTTTTAAGTGCTGTGGTTTACTTACTCTAAGGAGTATTGCAACCAGATTTCAGTCAATAATGCTTACAAATACTTAATCAAGCTAAAGTTCTACATTTTCAAGTAGATACCAGTTCCCCAAGTCCCTAACTTCAATAATGTGGTGGTAGATCTAAACACTCATAGGAGGGGAAAGAGACCCTTTTTTCCTGACACTTGTATATAGCTAACCTCCCTATTACAATATTACCTCAATGTTATAATCTTTCACTTTTATAAAATGAAAAGGTGAGTGATTATATACTGAAGAAGGTACGTGTCTCTTCTGTGAATTTTGAATATGAAAAAGTGCAAGTTCGCTTTATTTGAATATGCTCAGGTTTTGGTGTAAAATGATGGGACCTAGAAGAAGAGGTCAGATAGTTCTAGAGACATTTCTTCCTGTTGATTTCAAATGTTGCGTGTTTTTGTAGGTTGAGATGTGGATTACAGCATGCAACCACAGAACATGCAGAAATTTGAACTGAATAAGCAATTTTTTCTGTGGGCCATATGGTATAAAATGCACATTACAGAATTTAAAGAAGGTCAAGAAGAAAAGTTTGAAGATCTGATGTACCTGTGAGACGTACATAAATCTGTTACGTCCGATAAAGATTTCCAAATACTTACCTTTCTCATGCACTTGCTTCAAGTGTTTTGTTTTGGAAGTCTAGGAGATTTGATTCTTAAATTATAAGAGCAAGAAGAAGAATCATTTTCAGAGAATGGTGGGATGGGGAGATTTAGCCCAAAGAAGAACTTCTCTCAAGAAATTATATGCACTTGTATGTCATATTTACAATAGCCTTGCCCAACATAACAATATGGTTACTGTTACAGAGCTATGAGCATCCTGCTGTGCTTTCATCTCTATCATTTTTTATTTCTACTCTTTTTCACTAGTTTTCATGTCTTTCTTTTCCTTCTGTAAGAGAGGCTAGACATACCCCTATTTTATTTCTCTTTGTTTCAGTCTTAGGTTACGTTCTTTGGAGGCCAAAAATGCCAGTGTAATTAGGTTGGATCACTTTAGACCTGATTTCTGCATTCAAACATGTCCGGAACGTGCAAGGCAGTGCAAACATTTCTCATTTGAAGCTAGCTTCTTTAAACAGCACCTAATTTGCCCAAAAAGCCTAAATACCACACTTTTTTGTATATTCACACTTAAACTCGCTATTTAAAGTCTTCACTTTCCTGTTTTATTTTGCTATACACACATGTAGGTTTTGGATGTGCTAAGTAGATATCTGAAATTGCTGATGTTAGGGAAAAGTTGATGAAAAGGAACATAAAGATCAATGCCTTTTGGAAAGAAGATACTAATAACTTTAGTATCTTCAATTATAGATGGTAGAAACATGACTTTCTGTCTGACAGACTTTATAGCATCCTGTACTGAAAAAAGAAAAAACACCCTGGAACAAAACCCTGGAAAGTATATAAAGCTTAATTAGTTTCAAACCTGCTTCATTGCGTTCTCACTATCTGTGCTACTTACAGATAGCACTATGAGTAAAACTATAACAGCCCTGGGTGTTTTGTTGGAAATCAGGTAAGAAAACAGTGCTGTCAGTCTTTAAATAACTTTCTCACAGGACTGCAGTGTGGGAGCTGAACTGCTGTGTTACTGCCATTTTGAATACTCACTCAGCAAGAACATTTCCAAAATGGCAACCAAAATGCTGTATTTGGTCTCATGGAACCCAAGGTGCTTAATGTGACAGTATTATAGACTTGTTTGGAGCCTTTTAAGGTTGTAAATGGGGAGATTTTGAAAAAAATACCGTGTCCTTCTACATTTAATTGGGCCTTATTAAACTGGGAATGCTTGAGGATGATGTGGATGTAATTAATTTTAAGAGTTTAAATGATGCTATACAATGTATCTTATGTAACATAAATTATCTAAAATTTGAATTAGTAAAATTTTATATGTTACATGTATTTAAGTGTAGCAGATTGTGCAGATATGTAACATCTGAATGCAAGTTGAGTTGGTACATTAGTAAGGATGTTTGGGATCTGCAGTTATGGAATGCTACTTGGTCTATGTCCTATGGAGAGCAGTTGTCTGCTGGGCATCTAACTTGATATGGCAACATGTCCTGAATTTTTTTCTTTTTTGGAGGGCGGGTTAATATTTAATCATTTTCAACTTTCTTTTCAAGCCAGAGTAGCATCCCCTTTCTGTTCTATGCCTCTCCTCATAATTCCCTTAACATTGTCATTCTTTGTATTTGTTCTTATGCTGTTCCTCTTGCACTGCCTTTTTGTGGGTGGTAGTTATTTACTAGAATTTCTTGTTAATGGTCTGGGTGTTTGGCACTTGGGAAGGAGTGGAATGAAAATGAAATCCAGAGGGGAGAGGTGGTATTGACTGCATAGCCAAAAATATTTTGCCTTGTTAAGATGTAACACTGACCACTAGTATCTTCTTAAGTAACTTCCAAAAAAAGTCTTCAAATTACCTTCCCTGGTTCACTAATCTTATAGGCATTTGAGCTGTGGGTATAGCATGAATAAGTTTATAAGTTCTATTTCTAGTGAAGACATTTGGGCCTTGGTCATTTAAGTAACTATATGAAGCAAATTAATGATAATCATCATGTATAATTCTGAACTTCTTTTGTAGCACAAGATGGGAAAGAAACAGAATGGCAAAGGTAAAAAAGTTGAAGAGGCAGAGCCTGAAGAATTTGTTGTGGAAAAAGTCTTGGACAGACGTGTCGTAAATGGGAAGGTTGAATACTACTTGAAATGGAAAGGATTTACAGAGTAAGGCATTCCCAATGTGTATATCCTTGGATAGTACCTAAAATTTAGTAGGCAGACAAGGTTCTTTGGGAAAATCCAATATCTTTTATTAGACCAACTCAGATACTTGGAAACATTCTTCTTTGCAAGCTTTCGGGTACAAGTACCCTTTGTCAGGCTGAGAAGCATCTGCAGTTGGTCTGTGCTCTTTCTGGATGGAATAATAAAGAAGCCAGAGGCTGGTATGCATGTGAGAGAGCCAGTCAGTGAAAATGTAAATTGAGGTAGTCTGTGGGCGAGAGACAGGTAGGGGGTGGGGAGGGGATTGAATGTAGCTAGTAAATAGTAGAGAGGTGACTGGCTTTCTTGCATGTACACTAGCCTCTGGCTTCTTTATTATTCCATCCAGGAAGAGCACAGGCCAACTGCAGACACTTCCTCAGCCTGATAAAGAGTAAATATGACATTATTCTAAATGAAAATGTTATTTAAACTTGTATTGAAGAGGGATGTACTGCACACTAAAGTCCCTTTTGATATTCATTACACATGTGTAAGCACTAGCACTTTAAAAGTCTTCTGACAAATGTTCGTTTTAAGGCATGATGGGCTCTAAGCTGCGATCACAGTAATCATGCCGACTGCCTTGCCAGCAGGGATTTTTAAAGGTCCCTGTGAGCTGGGACACGTAAAGACCCCTTATGCCACTAAGATGGGGAGCGCACACAGTTTTTTAAGTCCTGGGGTCCCCAAGGTGTTTGCCTGCCCCTCCCCCAATGCAGGAGCGGGGTTGGAGGGGCAGGGTAGGTAGCAGTGGGAAGCCCAGTGCTGCTAGCCACTTGCTCTGCCCAGGTCTCCGCCAGGGCAGGGGCCAAACTTCCATGGAGGCCAGGCTAGGCTTTGTGGGAGTTTGGCTCCTGTGTGATTAGGGCGGGGTTAAATACCTGTGCAGCTTGGCCTGGCCCAGCACCTGCATGATTGGGGCAGGAGCCAAACTGTGGAGGCCAGACTGGGCTCTGCCTGAGTTTGGCCTCTGCCCCAGCTGGGACCTGGGCAGAACAAGCAGCCAGCAGCACCAGGCTCCCCATTGCTGCTAGCCCTGCCCCCCAACCCCCCTGCATGATTGGGGCTGGGACCAAACTCCCACAGAGCCTGACCCAGCCTGGCCCCTCTATGTTTGGGGCAGGGGCAAAGCTCCTGTGGGGCCTGACCTGGCCTCTGTGTGGCTGGGGCCTAAACCAAGCTCCCAGGGAGACTGACCTAGCTTGGCCCCTACCTCATCAGGGCAGGCTTCTGCAGAGGTTGGCCCCTGCCCCAGCTGGGACCTGGGCAGAACGAGGGGCCAGCAGCATACTGGGCTCCCAGCTGCTACAAGCCCTGCCTGTCCAACCCTTGCTCCCAGCACAGCCTTACCCCATACAGCCCCAGCTCCTACAACAGCCACTTTGTGTGTATGCATGGGTATGAAGGTATGTTTTATTGATTTATGGATACTTACTTTTTGTATTACTAAATTGTCTGCCCCTCACACCTCTAATTTTGTGTGATCCTGAAAATGTCAATGGATAAAAATGAAATGTTTAAACATAAATGTCAATTTTAACCATCAACATTAAAAAAAAAAAAAAATCAAATTCTGCCAAGTCTCTCTCTCTATATATATATAGATATAGATATAGATATAGCTATATAGATATATAATTTAACCTGTGAATCACTACAGAAGACTTGCAAAATGTCACCACTTGAGAGCAGATCATGCTTTAGCTGGAAATAAAGCAATTCATTGTATGTACCTGGTCTAGCTTTTGAACATACACAGTTCTGTGCACATTCACATTATCTCAAGTAGTCATATTATGATTTCATTCTGTTTCCTAGAGCAGGGGTTGGCAATGTTTTTGGGCAGAGTGCAAAAAACACCTACAACCTCGACTTGTAAGATGTTGGCATGCCAGGGCAGATGGGAGGGAAGCCACAAGGGGCCCAATCCTTGTTGTGGCAGCACAGCCCCAGCCCCTCCCTACTCTGCCATCTGCTCCAAGGCACACATGCCAAGCAAAATTTCATAGATTCATAGACATTAGGGCTGGAAGGGACCTCAGAAGATCATCGAGTCAAGCCCCCTGCCCCAGGGGCAGGAAGTCAGCTGGGGTCACAGGATCCCAGCAAGATAAATGTCTGATTGACTCTTAAAGGAATCCAGAGTAGGCGCTTGCACCACCTCTGGCGGCAGTCGGTTCCAGGTCTTAGGTCTGTTCCAGGTCTTCGCGTGCCATGCTCTGGCACCCATGCCAGGGGTTGCCTACTAGGGCTGTGCAAAGCTTCAGTCCCCGATTCGATTCAGCGGGGATTCAGCCCAATTCAGTGGCCAAATCTCCAAATTGAATCAGGAGACCCTTTAATCTCTCCGAATCGAATTGGAACTCTCTGAATTGATTGATAGAAATTCAGAAAGATTTGGTGATATAGACATAGTTTTAAATGTTTTTTTCTACATGCCTCAAGGTACCAAGCGGCTTGTGAATGCTGCGATGGTGGGGCTAATGGAGCGTCCCTCAGGAACATAGGGGGCTCCCCAGCCCGCTCAGTAGTGGACCAGAAGCACTTCCAGGTCCACTGGGGAAGCGGACTGGCGTGTAGTACTTCCAGTCCACTTCCGGGTTCACTGCCAAGCACATTTAGGGGGCGCTGCGCTCCTGTGGGACACTCCATCCACCCCAGCATCGCAGCGTTCGTGAGCCACGCCTGGTACCTCAAGGTATGTAGAAAAAAACACTTAAAGCTGTGTCTATGACTGAATCACAGATTCTCCAAATTGGCATTGAATCTTCAGATTCAGTTGAATCGAATTGGGGAGAGTAATCCAAATCCACTAATCAAATCACTGTCCCCAATTTGGGCCGAATCCGAAACAAATAGAGCCCGTTTCACACACCCCATTTGCCTACCCCTCTCCTAGAGTTTGTCATGTCAAAATGTATGGAACGGTAACCTGTGTAGTCTGGATATTTACAGGACCTGTCTGATGACGGGAAAGCATCTTTCAGTAGCTGGAAATGTCTTGGGGATTCAGTCTTTGGGTGTTCAGTGCTGTTTAAGCAGTTGGTGTCTGGGGACTTCTGAGTTGGCACTTAACTGATGGGGAGAAGCAGTTAATACACTTGACGTTAAATAACAGCTGAGCATACACATAGTTAACTTTCTTATCACCTAGTTTGTTTACATGGTTTTATGTCCAGGTTTTTCCAAGGTGTTTAAGTAAAAGTGAACATATTTAAATGCAGTAGCCAGGTTTTTTTAAAGCCCTCAGTCATCTTATAGGAGCAAATATGTCTGCTTGATTTGTATCTTCAGTTTGAACTGAAGTTGTTCCATTGCAGTAATGGCGTCTTTCATGAACTTTCATGTACGTTTCATACTTTCATCTGTTTCAGTGCTGACAACACATGGGAACCTGAAGAAAACTTAGATTGTCCAGAGTTAATTGAAGCTTTTCTAAACTCTCAGAAAGCTGGTAAAGAAAAAACCGATGGTGCCAAAAGAAAATCTTTATCAGATAGTGAGTCTGATGACAGTAAATCAAAGAAAAAAAGGGATTCCGTAAGTATATGTTCTTGTGCTAAATATATTTTTCTTTATATTTTTTTAAGGCGCCAGGCTAGAGAAGTAAAATCAGTAAGTCTTCGTTGCCTACAAGGAACATTGGTTTAGAATGATTAGTTAAAAACAGAATAAGAAAACACCAGGAACCATGTGATGTGTTAGTGTTTAACAGGCATAGTATTGGCAAAAGAAAAGTCTCAGTCTTTTTGGATATGTCAACACAGTGAGTTAAAGGAAAGTCACTTGGCATAATTCATTTAGTCTTTTCAGAGGTGTACAAAAGAAGCTCTAAATAATTATGGATCAAAAATGGCTTAGAAGATAAAAATGAAAAGGGGGTTAGATGATCAATTTGCCTCATGACGGAAAGTTAACAGTGGGGAATCCCAAGGTTCTAAACTAATGTATCATACTTTGAAACAAATGGTAAGGTTGCAAAAATTGCTGATTATGCAGGTCATTTAGTTCATTCAGTCAGGTCCAGCAAGATCTAAACAGTTCAGGTAAATGGACAGCATGGCAACAGTAAGTGAAGCGTTGATGTGTGCAAAATAGGGTATTTGTAGTGGCTGGAGAAATTTAAAATCCCTACAAGCTTTTAAATTGGATGTAGTGATTCAGAAATGTAGACAGCTTAGTAGAGATGTACAGCTGTTTTCAGAAAGCTAAGAAGTTCTGACAGGGGTGGCCACAGCAGCAGGTAGGGTAGAAAGCAGAGCTACAGATCAGGCCCAGGGTAGGGAGAAGAAAGCAGAGCAGCAGATTGGACAGAGAAAAGGAATCAGTGGCACTTGGGGGCTAACTTGTGGCACACGTGCCTTAAAGGTTCGCCCCCATTTCTCTTAAGACATATGGACCGGCTGATGGGTGATATAAAGACTATTATAATGACTGCATAGTTCTGTGGTGTGGTCAGTTCTGCAACATTGCAACGTTCAGAAAATGGTAGCAGGATTAATCATCAGAATTGAGAAGTCTAGAATTGAGTTCCTTGGGTTTAATTGGTTTCAGGTTTGTATCTTGCTTTTTGTGAAGAAATGGTTTCTAGCTCAAAACAAAAAAATAGTGATGCTCCTAAATTCAGGAAATAGTTGCTAATTTCTTTGCCTGCTGGTAAGTGGCTGAACTAAGGAGCTGAGATGTGAAAGTCATGGAACGTTGCATTTACTCTAGAAAGATGCTACTTGCTTTATTTACATGTTTTTTCAAGACAAATGTTTGTAATAAATACTTTACTAAATAACACTCATGAAATGGTTTGTCTGATGTGCAGCCATGAGAGAAGAAATTTTGGCATGATCTAATCTTTAATTCAGCACAGTAAGCAAGTGTCATTTAGCATTAACTTTAAACTAAATGTGACTTTTTTAATAGGTTGATAAACCAAGAGGGTTTGCAAGGGGTCTTGATCCTGAGCGAATAATTGGAGCAACAGATAGCAGTGGGGAACTTATGTTTCTTATGAAGTGGTAAGTGCTTTGCAGCTGCGATTCGAAGTGTTTAAGCTAGTGAAATAGCAATCACTCTTGGAATGAAATGCGAACATTGGTAGTATATTTAGTGTAGTGTTTTTGTTTGCTTTGTTTTGATAGTAATATGGTTGTTTGCTATATGGAATACTTACTCTAAATGTAACTAAAGCTGCATTTGAGAGAACCTGTCCTGAACAAATAATCAAAATAAAATTGACCGATGAAATATTAGTAATAAAAAAATAGACCAGGATACTATATCTGTGTGGGGAGGAGAGGATGTGTGTATAGGAATGATAGCTTTTTATCACTTCTATGGTAAATGCTTTGCGGAATGACCAAAAAAAAATAGTAGTCTATCACTTGACTTGTTGAGACCATTAAAGATTGGTTCTTTAGAAGGTCCTTCTTCCTTTTCATTTTACTCTAAAGTCTTAGAAGTATTCCAAGTGTTACATTCGTACTATAAAATGCAGAAACAGATCATTCTACAATAATAAAATTGAAGAAATGAAGTTCTGATCTTTCTTTTAGTTATTCTACTTTGTAGCTAGTTACTTCATAACTTATTACAGATAGCAAACGTATGCAAACTTTGTAGGTACATAACAGGCATGTAAAATCAACATAAGCTTTAAAAACACAAGAGTCGGAACCACTTCAGTCTTGCATGTTTGGTTTTGTTGTCCTTCACCCCTACTGACCTGCTTGGCTGCAGTCTGTGAGGTAGTTTCACTACATTACATTTAAGTTGTATTGAGTTTATATGTTAAGGTCATTCTCTGCAAGTCTGGCACAGTCAGTTTAAGTCTGATGCTGCCTGAAGTTTAATCATATAATTAAAGAATAATACATTAAGAGGTTGTCTCCTCTTCCTTCATTGTGTCAAATGCATAAAGTACATTGTTGTGTAGTAATTTTTTCTCCATATATGTTCTCTTCTCTGTTTGAGATGCTTTTTAGGAAAATGTTTCTGTAAAACACCAAGTTGGTAGAGAATGGGGACAATGTTTAATTAAATTAATGACTCAAAATTACTAACTAGTTAATATCCTTTTAAGTGTTTGAGCTGTGGAAGGAAAGCTGCTGAACTTAAATTTGAGGCTTTACTTTCTGACATCCATTAATTCTTATTATAATACCAAGTTCAAGTACATCTTTTCTAGTACTTGTCAACTATTTTATAAAAGTCAGGATTTTTTTTTCCCTTTCTATAATAGGAAAGACTCGGATGAGGCAGATTTGGTACTGGCCAAAGAAGCCAATGTGAAGTGTCCTCAGATTGTAATCGCTTTTTATGAAGAACGACTAACTTGGCATTCATGTCCGGAAGATGAAGCACAATAATTGTTTGCGTTGCTTTTTTATATATATGAATATTGAAACCTGATTTTGATTTTATTTGATTTATTAGCAATGTGAGAAGCGTACATTCTAATGAAAATCAAGTTTGATATTTTTTTGGAGTAGTGTGTTTTGCATCAACAGCAAGTAAATAAAGGCTTTCTGCAACTTCATTTATCACAGGAGAGCATTTGATACTACTACTTCCTCCACATTAGGTAACAGCTTTTATAAACCTTCATAAACCTCCATAGTTATTACTGAGTCATAACAAATGTTTAAATGAAAACTTACCAATGTTTTGTAGTCTTCTATATTATTGATGTGCATGTATCTTCTTTATCCCTAGCTAGCCCCTTTAAACTTGTAGAACCATTCTTTTTAGTATTTGGGATTACTTGGTCTGGAAGAGGCCAGATGAAAACTAACTTTGTAGTAATTTGAATGTTATCAGACTGTATATTGTTTACTTTATTGTAAATACTGGTGAACAGTGGTCAATAAAATAGTTTTATATTCTTCCTTTATACTGACAGGAACTGACTTTTTTGAACTGGTATAATTAGGGACCTACCTAATTTGTAGGTGCTGCTCCCTGATTTTGCAGGCAAAATGTGTGCCTGGGCAGCCATTTTACTGGGAGAGCATGGCAGGGGGCTCCCCATATCCCTGATTGGCTGAGGAGCCCTGGTGGTTCTGCCCTTTGCCACTGATTAGCTGTGAGGGCTGTGTCATGCTGCCCTGCCCTTGTTGCCAATTGGTGGATGGGTGGGGCCACATGACAGACAGCCATTGCAGCCAGTGGGGGAGGGAAGGCAGCCATCTTGCCAGCAGTCCTTCAGCCAAGCAGTCCAACCTCCCTCTTCTCCACCCTAGTAGGCTGCCACAGTGTGCTGAGGACTGCTGGCTCCCTCTGGGGAGCCAGTGATTTATTTTTGGTAACATTTGTTTTTTTTCCCATGGGCATTGCCCAGATTTTGTGAAATCTGTGAAACTGCGAATTTGGTAGGTCCCTAGGTATAATGTTCTTGAACTTACAGCAAAAGTTAGTCTTTCAGTGCATAAAAGTGTCAGAGAATAGATTTTTATTCCTTTTTCTTGTTAAACAAATGCTGAGTATTGTGGAAGTGTAGTGTTTCCTATATAATCAAGTGTTTTGCTGAGCAAGATACCAAGTCCTGAAATGAGAAACTAAAGGGGGAGGGTTTCCCATTGGCTGGTTAGAGCTGGAAAATGGTTTTTCTCACTTCCAAAGGCTGCCATCCTTTTTCCAACTCCCTTCTCCTGTTTCAGCACTCTTCTACCGTATTTTCAATTATCTATATTCAGTGTATTGAAGCCCCACCTACATGTGTTCTCTGAAGAGCCACTCTGCATGCACATCAGTATATTCCTACTACTTCCTTTTTGGTCCCTTTCCACATTTACCTGTTTCTTATACCAGGCTGTCTCCTGAAAGCACAAGTAGTCCCTAAGCTTCCCTGAGCCAGCTTGGTTTCTCTCTCTGTATGGGAACAGTGGGAAATAGTGGTCATTCTTGTCTAAGTGTCCCTCCTCACTGACTAAAGGGGAAAGGTTTCATGTATTCTTTTGACCAAAGGTAACCTTTGTTTGGCTTTCACCTTACTGAGGAAAAATGGGAAACAGTAGCCATTTTGAAAATGCAGGCTTTTTTGTTTCATTTACTTGGAAACTCTTTTGTAGTTTTTGCTGGAGTAAATTTAAAAGTTATGAAAGTTTTTTTTATTGATTTAAGCAAAAGGCTATTTGTACCAAACTCCTTACCACTTTGATGTAGACCATAGGTGAAAATGTACAATAGATTGGTTTTAGATGGGTCGAATTTCAAATCCTTTCTCTTCCTTATGAAAAGATAAAGAGCTACACAAAATATAAATTAGTAGCTCTAATAACATCATAGCAAAATGCCACCTATGCCACTTGTATTATGATGTCCCAAATCAAACCTTTTAAGTTTCAACCATAATTTATGTAAAATAATTACCAGGACATTGAAACGAGGCCCAGCATATCTTAAAAGACTTCAGACATTATACAGCAGAGAAGGATCCTGGTGATACAGTGGGCGGTAAGCTGAACATGAGCCAATTGTGTGCTGTTTTTTGCACAAAAAAGCAGCAGTCAACAGCATGCTGGTTTGTACGAAAGGGTACTACTTGCAAGTCAAGGGAAAGGATTCTTCCCCTCTAGCATTGGTGAGGCCTCATCTGGAGTACAGCATCCAGTTTTGGGCTACTGTAGACAGATAGGAAAAGAGTTCAGTGCAGAGCAATAAAAAATGATCAGAAACCAGGAAGCATGACTTATGGGGAAAGGCCAAAAGTACTAAGGTTATTTAGTCTGGAGAAGAGAAGACAAATGGGATTTGATAATTAGAGAGAGGATTGGAGATGGGCTTTTCTCTGTAGGCATAGAGGACAGGACTAGGAGCAATGGCTTCACACTGAAGCAGGGAAAATTTAGTTTGGAGATTAGGAGAAACTTTCTGACTATAAGGGAGGTCAAGGATTGGAACAGGGTACGTAGAGAAATTGTGAAATTTGTTAACTGTTTTCAGGAGCAGGTTGGACAGACATTTAGCTTCAGTGTTTTAATTTGAGACAGTCCTGCTTTGAGGTAGAGGTTGGACTAAATGACCTTGCAAGATCCTTTCCAACCCTGCCTACCTATGATCCTCAATTATCTAAGTTTGGAAATACCTAGGAAAAGTACATCTTTATGGTATGCAGTGGTATGCAGACAACCTGTCAGTGTTAACAGATTTATTATAATTACTTTATATGATGAAAATTTGCTGGAGGTACTTAAGGTTGTATTGTTTTAAATTGATTAAAGAGTCTGTCAGATTTTGGGAACCGGTGGAATATTATGAAAGTCACCAAATGGGCTCTTGTGAATTAAGTATGAAAAGAACCAAATGTGTGTTTAAAGGGGGGTTTTTTTGGATTTGTTTTTGTTCTCTTACCTAGGTGGTCACACAGGTGTTTTTCTTTTTATTTATTTTTTAAATAAAATAAAATAAACCTGGACTTAATTCTAACTATAGGAGTTAGGAGTCATTTACATCAGTGTACACAGAGTTTGTTAACATTTAAATAAAACTAATGTTGCTGTGGTTATGCTAATCCTTTAAATTGTATTTCTATTCTGTAATATGCTTCCATGCAAATCTTTAGCACTTTGTCGTTTTTTCATTTGTTTTTGTTCCTTCTGTCACAGATGGTTGAGATCCTGCTGGTGGAGACTTGCCTGACTGCTCTGAGGGGATCCATTCACTGAATCCCATGTGATCATACAATGCTGTGTCTGGGGAAAGTTTAGGTTCTTTCCTGGCTCTGGGCAGTAGGGGGCCCCTTGCTCTTATTTGTACTAGTTTCAGAATATAGCCATCTGCCCTAGCCCTGATTGGGCCTCTTGCCCATTTTCAAGATTCCTGCCAGGATGCAAGTGTTTTGCTTCACTGTTTTGGTCCTTACTTGATTGCTTTAATGTAGGGATGTCAAACTAACCTCAGTCCTCCAGGCTGCTCCCACTGTGGTTATGTCCAGATGTAGCCCATGAAGAACCTTGTGGATTAGATTTGGACCACAGACCAGATGCAGACATGGCAGCAGTGCTGTGTCCAGATATTAACACAGCTGTCAGTGACCCCTTGCTGCTGACATACATCCCCAGTGGGGCTCCATAGCCCAGGCTTCAGTGGCAGGCCCTGCCCCTGAATTTCCTGCTCCTCTGGGGCCAGGTAAATTCCCACACCTCAGATGACGTAGCTCTGCAAGCCAAATCTGGCTTTCAGGTCATACGTTTGACATGTCTTCTTGTTTAACACACACAGAATATATAGGTTTCTGAAATACCAAATATAAGAAGTAAAGATCTGAGCAGAAATAGTAAACTTACATGCATTTCCCTGCCTCAGTTTCATCACTGTTTTGGAATGTTCCCTAGGCTGGGTTCAGGCTTCTTTCATGTTTGGGATCCTTCTATAGGTCATGGTTTGTCTTTGGACCAGGGAGAATATCCATCATAGCTCACCACCTCTGACCTTGATACTGTCAGACTGGTATTAAAATCTAGTCAAATATTTAATTATCAAGCAAGCTGCCTTGCCTTAAAATAATTTTGTTATTTTTTTTTGTTTTACAATCCTTCCTAGCAAGATGTTGATCCTTGCTGGTCAGTAGCCATTACAATAGGTGGATTTGATTCTATGCTGAGCTTTCCTATTAAATTACATATTATTCTTTCTACCCAGGAAGACATGCTTGCCCATATTTTAAGCAGATACACAATTCAACAAACATGTTTATTCACATTCTTAATTCTATTTTTAGATTTTATGATTGGTCAGTAGAACATGATAACTAACATAGGATCATAGGGAACATAGAACTGGAAGAGATTTCATGAGGTCATTAGTCCAGTTCCCTGCTTAGAGCAGGATGACTGTAAATTAAACCATCCTGTTCAAGTATCTGTCTTGCCTCCTTGGAAATTTCGCAGCTTCCCAAGGTAGCCTTTTCAAGTGATTGGGATAAAACTCCTCAGATCCCATTGTATGTCTGCTGGCACTTGAATAATCCAACAATGGGGAGAAGCTCCCTCATGCTGGATTGTCCACACGCCCTTTAAACTTGCTGGCATATGGGGACTTAGGATCAGGAAGAGATTTCCTGATCCTAGGTTCCCCATACACCCAGACTTCTAAAAGGCACACATGCAGCCCAGTTGCACACATCCCCTCTAAACTGCAGCACATGGGAATCTCCATATCCGGGAAGCAGCTCCTCCTGTGCCCTGTACACCAGGAACTTTAAGAGGGTGTATGGGGGAGCAGCTCCTTGCATGCCCTTTAAATGAAGTGATGTGCCACACATTAAAATTGTTGTGAGGTGCTTCCACATCAGAAAGTAGTTGCTGATTTTAATAGGGAACTTCTCTGAAGCAGATCTACCTAACTCCTCATCAAAAGTAAACTTCTTGTTTGATCAGCAAGCACTTAATCTGACCCAGCCCTTCCTTAATAATAAATGCAAACCCTCTCAACAGATCTTTACTGCCACAACAATCAACATTCCCCACAGCAAAACCATGGATCATGCATGTGTCTGGCCCAGAATGTGGTATACCTCATTCAGTGCACTAAATGATCACGTGGTGACTTATGTGGGCAAAGCCAGACAAAAACTATGCACTAGACTCATCAAAAAAAGATAAGACAGAGACACTAGAACACAGGTAGGAGAACATTTTTCATAGAGGATTTACTCCCTGTTTGACTTCACAGATCTTGTGTTCAATCCAACATAGGAATAGAAATGCATCAGCCTATTAGATATAGGTATCAGAGACTTAACGTAGACAATGACTTCTTGGTTCATTATAGTCAACCTCTGCACTTCTGAATGACCCTCCTGGGCAATCTTTTACACAGTTTTTTTGTTCTATTTGCTACTTAGCTCGGCTTCCCTTGCAGAGGCCTGATGAAAGGTAATGTGATATCTGAAAACTTCCCTGTCTATCCCAGCCATGCAGTTGGGCCAATTAAAGATATCACTCAAAAGAATTCTTGCTTCTGTGTTTTATATATGCTTATGTTTACATATTACATGGGCTGCATGCCGTACCGCTGGCGTCACTCCCTCTTGCAGGACCCCCCCCTCCCCGCTGCATTATACCACCTGCATCTCCCACCCCCATACCATACCATGCTTTCCTGAGTTCTCATGAGCCAGGGCAGGGGCAGGTGGTGGAACTGGGAGGAGGTAGAGGGAGTCTGATGACTCCAATAACAGGAGCAGGAACATGATGGGGAGAGGTTCCCAGGCTGATATCCCACAAGTTAACCTCTTGGGGACTGCATGTGGCCCATGGGGTTCTCAGTTGGACATCCCTGCTGTAAGCCAATTATTTGTTGTGAATATATGGACTGACTTGAACATTTTTTTTATTCTTATCTCTGCATCACTGAATAAGCTGGTCATTCATGGATAGCCCAAGATACAATAATTGCTGGATTTAAACACCTAAGCAACTATGTTAATGAACCTCAAATACTATATTGTTCCAATTATAATTCAACCTTGCATGTGTGATGACACCATATTTTCTGGATCTGTTTTACAAAGCAGCTTGTTCCCTGAATGTAAGTTGATAATTACAGATAAAGTCTTTGAATGGTTATGGCCCTTATAAAAGCTCACAGGAGAATCAAATAAACATAGGAAGACCCAAAGAGTTAAATACATTAAAGATGCTAAAAAAAAGCCCTGGAAAAATTTCTGACTTGGTATTTTTATTGCAGACACAGAAATATCTCAAATACAAAAGTCAGGACTGTTGGGACCATAATTATAGGTTGACTGCATATAAAGTGTAATTTTTATGATTCTTTTGAAGGAAATAAAAAAGGTAGATTTAGAACAATACAGTATAGTTCTTGATTTAAAAGTTCAAATTTCAAAAGCTTCTAGCCAAATAATTGTGATGATTCAGTAGATGGCGCTCTACCTTAGGGTCATAGAATTTTCTGTTCCCGGAGCTCAGTTGTTTCTGTCTCCAGTAGGTGGAGTATCAGTACACTTATCAGCTAATGAGAAAGGCTTGAATAAAGTATAAAATGGAATAAGCCACAGGGTTTTTATCACATAAATCTGTGCTTTATCTCCTTATACAACAGAATAAGATATATCAAGAATTTGCAGATTCTTGGTTTCACTTGCAATGAGTCAACCCATAAAGTGCCATAACATGGATGACTTTCAGGACCTCTAAACCTGCTCACAGTTAGACTTCACAGAAAGTAAGTCTCTATAGTAAATTGCTCTCCCTCCTTAGGCAGATAGAAAGTTTGGAGATATAAAAGGGAAACATCCATACATAATTTGTTCTGTGAAGAAAATAGAGAACCCTGTCCTGTGAAGAACTACTACTAACGTTTCTCCCCATCCACAAAATAAAATCACTGTTAGAATGGTTCCATGCTTTACTGAAGATAACAGCACCCTTTCATCTGAATCCTGATACAGGATTGCTTCTCTTCTTCCCCAAACTCAGCAATAACACAGAAATGAGATTTCCGAGTCTGAATTGTGTAAGGATGCCACGAATCTCTTGAATGAACTACTTAGGAGAACCGATTCTAGAACTAACTGCCACATCCAGATCCATTCTTTCTAATTACGTAAAGCTTCTAATCAAAGGAATTTGTATTCAGTTACACAAAGTTTTCTCAGTGTTTTCAAAGTCCTGATGTGAGACAAGTAGCTGTGTCGTGGGTGTCATGCAAATCAACCATCTAGAATACTACTTCAAGTATGTGTCAGTGTGGGACCCAGTGTAGTGCATTCAACCCTATGCATGTGAGACTGGAATCTTTTGAGGAGCAGTGTATCTCATGGCCATGTATGTGCCCTGTTCCTCTTTCTCCTTCCATCGGGGCATAAAAGCCAGGTACATTATATTTTTACCAGTATGTGTGATCAGAAACCAGCCTATTCTTAGAACACAAGTTCAGCACAAAACTGGTTTATAACAGAACAGAAGTTCAGCACACACAAACTGATTTAAAAATGGCCCCCATTTGCCCTGCCCCCACCACCACCAAAGGGCAAATGTATGTTCTGTTCACTTCTGATCTAAACTGTACCACTTACAGAAAATCACATGACTGAGATCAATTCCACCTCAGGCTTTTTGAATGTCTGTACCTAGCCAAAGAGCTGAGACCATTCCTCAGTTCCCTTGTAACATCTGTGAAGTAAAATGGAAACTTGATAGTGTTGGACCTTCTGTTTGTTCTCAACTTTTTCACCTTAGTATTTTTCAATTTCTTTGGAGAAGAAATTCTTCATTTAATGATTTAAAAAATGGACATTAAAAAAGAATACAGTAATCACCTATAAAGCCTCCTATACAGTGAGGGGAGGCACCTCTGGCAGAGTCTAAACTAAAGGGTTTAAACCTTATTGCCTAGGCAGTTGGCAGTTAACTCTTCTGCCTTGCGAAAGGATGCATCTCTGACGTCCTTAATCTGTTGAGTCTCCCTTCCTGTACCCAAAAATCAAGAAAGACAAAGCCAAAATTATATTTACTTGAGCATTCATTTAAAGTCATGTTTGAATCTGAAGAGGTGAGAACCAGAACTGAGGAAGCTATCCATGGCAAGTTATTCAGCACCTATGCTGTGTATTAACAGGGAGAAGAGGACATAGAAACATTATCAAAGCCACTGACACCAGGTTGCCTGCTGTTAATCAGCTTGGCACTGGACTATTAGCATTAGACTTGGTACTGATAACATAGGCAGCAACTCCAAGGTACACAGCCTGTAAGAAGAGAAATCTTCCAAGCCCCAATAGATTTCAAGGGTTGGGGACACGGCGCCAATTGGGAAGAAGCTTCAAAAGAATGCAGCAATGTTACCAACTTTTATGACAAGTCCTGTACTGGTCCTGATCAACCAGCCCTCCCTCTCTGATACTGAAATATATAACAATAAAAGAACCGTTCTCCCTTCTCATTTTGGACCTAGGATAGATATCAGCAAAGGCATCCATGGCACCAGCAGTGCCAGGCCGTCAAGCAACAGGTCTAGGACCAGCAGTTCCAGAGATACATTTCTCATCACTGTTCTCTAGTCAGGCCTTCTGTCCTACATCAAGTAGCAGCTCTCCTCAGTCTGGCCAGGAAAGGACCCCTGAGGAAGTTCCAAAGTGCAACAGGGCACTGTTTGTCAATTATTCTTATAATGATTCTATATCTGGGAAGTCAAAGGCATCTAGATTTGCACAGACAATGAAAGAGGAGATGAGAAATTTTCTTGTAATTTTCATTTTTCCAAGTATAGTGTGCTCATCCAAGTTCCCAACCTTCAAGATTACTGATATGGTTTATTACATTTCAGACTTGGTGATATTACATGTTTAGTTCCCAGTTCTTCAAGTGAGAGTTTTGAGGTCTCAGAGCTCTAATATATTTTTAGTAAATATTATATGACTTGCTTATGAAGATGCATCTCAGCTTCAGACACCTGTGAGACCTCTGTAAGCAAGGACTGACATCATCAACAGATTAAAATATAACATGTACACTCTCTGCCACAAAGGAACAGTATCAAGTATGTGAACTAATGTAGAAAAACAGGAAGAAAGAAAATATGCAAAGAAAACTCTGAGGTTTTTTGTGTTTTTTTTTTGCCTAATGACGTTTGTCAAATTGTGTGGCATAACCTATATGATGAAACTAGCAATCTTCTGAAAAAAAAACTCCTGAGGCCCATTTTTCTGGTTCCCTGACCTCTACCATCACTGTCATTCTTCACCGAGTCCTCAAATTTTATTTTTTTTCATACATGCATAACAATGAGCATAATGCATGATCTTCCATTAAACCTCCACCTTCTAAATTCCCTCTCTTTGCCACTGTTTGCTGTAGTTGGGTCTAATTTGTTGATGTAACTACAGCAGGAAACCTTCCTAACACAGAGGAAGTTATACTTGCTGCTGGTCTTTCTATCCAGCTAACATAGTTACAGATTTTTCCATTATTAGGCACATAATATGGCCTGGTCTCTTGTCCAACAATGTCTTCTACTGTGCACAGTTTTTCCAGGACATGGCAGGCTAACAGGTGTGTCCATGATCAGTGTTTGACTGCAGTCACATGTGCCTTGGTCTTCAGAATAAGCCCACCTCTGCATATTATCTTTTAAGATGCTGACTCTTGTTCAAAGGCAATTTAAACATCTTCAGATTGACCAATCCTTCTCTGTGCCTGCAGGGAGAGATTCAGTGATGTCTGCATTTTGGTGCCCTCATTAAGTGTGTTGAGCTGTGCAAGCTATGCAGCCATCATTGACTTTAAGGAGTTCCCTTGAGGCAAGAAAGCTTTTCCATGATCTCAGGTGGCTAACAGCTGCATTTGGTCACATAGTATATGCTTGGTGTGTCTTTGACCTGTCATGATTATTCCACCCTTCTGGAGTCCAGTGGATAGATTCCAGCAAGCACATAAAGGTATTTTCACTAGTTGGTTTTAGACATAAAGAATAAGCTATACATATACAGTATGAAGCACCTTTACACCAGTATAGCCATGTCAATACTAAAAACTACTAATATAACTATTTCAGTAAAAAATTAACCTCCTAAATATAAAATAAATATGTTATTCTTTATATTGTAAATCATTATAGAGTAACCCCATTTTTCCCCAGGGAAAGAACAGTAACCTTTACAATTGTGTTAAGTACTCAAGTTACTTGTCAGCCAAGCAGCCAATCAAGGTAAGAAACCTAACAACGACAAGCCCCTGTGTGGTGCTATATAATTAACAAAATACTACTAATAAACATTTATAGCAACTTTAAGGATGCTTTAAGGATGGGTAGATGTGTCTGCTGTGTTGAATAATTATAGCTTAATATGCTATGCTGAAGAGATTCTTATTCAGAAGGGCACTTGTAGAATAAATTTAGTTTCCTTTTCTTCAGACTAGTAGATATCATCCTACTAGATACCAAATTGTATGTAGAATTATAGTCATCCAGGAACAACAGGATTTATAAAACTGGATTTTTTAATGTAAAAAAAAAACAAACCCTAATAAGATTTTTTCAAAATATAAGACAAATGTCTTTCATGATGCCTTTATAAAGTATAAAAAAGCAAAATAGGAAACAAACCTTTTTTTTTCCACTGCATCTTTAAGGATGCATGTACATGGGCATTTCATATGAAAAACGAATTTGGATTCTGAAGCTTTTGTTCCAGTTCAGGGTATCTTAAAAGACCTGTTTATTCTGTTTCTTAGTCTAAACTCCTTCCAGTATTCTTACAGGCAAGAACAAACCAAGGCCAGAAGTTTCATGCCTCTGGCAATTTTAGATACAGGATTGTCTGTCAAAAAGTTTGATGGCATTTGTAACTTGTGGTTAGCAATACTTAAATATTATCCAATTGCTTTTTCTTTCTGCTCCTTTATATATTTCTGAAAAAAGCGATAAGAAATACATTAGGATGTGAGCAAGGAGTAAACTAAATATGCTCAGCTAATTTAACACTTCCTTGTAAACAAAAAGCAACAAATGCCAAATGCAAAAGGGCAATATAGTAGAGGGAAAATGGTTGTTTCCAACCACTGAAAAGGACTAAGCAGTAAAAATTATTTGACAACATCCCTTTGAATAAATCAAATTGCTATATTCTCCTCTTTTCAGATATTTTTTACTATCCTCATCATATAGTATCTGAATGCCTTCAGGAACTGCATTAGACAATGTGAGTATAATTACTGCTTGTATTGCTGTAGTACCCAAATGCATCATTCATGGACTAAGGCCACATTGTGTTAGACTCTCTAGAAATAAAGACTAGTGGTATTAATATTTTAATTATTGTGTACATATTCACTTGGTAATCTTAAAGTGTGCGTATTCTACTTCTGCAGTGCTGGCTAATCTTTCCTACTGCCAAACCCAAAAATGAGGCTGTAAAATTTCTAAGGACATCACCAAGTGCCACTGCCAAGAGTGTTAGTGGCTGTCAGACTACCGCTAGGGTAATGTCCCAGCCTCATTTCCAGCTTTGGTACACATGGAACAGAAGTGGATGGGTAAGACAGGTTTCTTGGCCACACAATCAATACTGCCCTGGAAGCAGCATAGACATAATCTGACTATACCCAGTGGCATAAATCCACATCTGCTGTAAATAGCATGAAGGTAAGCTAATTAGGGCTGTCACTCAGCAATCCTACTCAGCTCACCTTAAACACTGCATAGACATAGCTATGTTGTAGTGCTCTTAGTTTATGAAGGGACTCAGATGGAGCACCTCAGTATGCATGAGGGCATCACTAATTAGGCTTGGGAAGCTTACCATGTAAATATGGTGGAAGTAACTTTATTCTGGAATAAATACTCTGAAAGTAATTCTATGTGGCAGTGTGAATGGTTAGCCAGTCTCACAGAAGCAATAAATGAACATCCTAAGATTAACAAGTAAATATAACCGCGGTTAGTTAAAATGTAAGGAATTCTCCTTAGGCCAGCGTGTTAGATAACTGAGGGTAAAAATGTCACCAGCTGTTCTACACCATTTGTACTGGTGCACGTGTGAGATAATGTCACAAAAACCTCAAGGAAAACAGTCATGGGCATCATAACCACACAAAAACTGTCTCTCTGGTGTTGCCAAGTCGGATAAAAATAACATCAAAATTACAGTAAGTTTAAAGCTGCTTCCTCTATGCAAACTTTAAACATATCTACAAAATCACCTCATACCACTTTCTTCTTCTGTCAACCCCCAGCTTCCCCCTTCTGACTCTACTTTTCTCTCTCAGTCACAGTCAGTTAATTTACCCTCCTCTTTCAGTCCATGAGTCCTTCTCCCACGCTATAGTTTTAATTCTCGTATCTACCACATCCTCCATAAGCTCATACTTCAGACACAACGTGAGTTGAGGTTCTTGCTTAGTTAGAAGCTGCAGCTATTTCTACCTTTCTCACTCCTGTCACAGTCCAGTGACTCCTGCTCTGAGCCCCCCTGAGAGAGCCACTAGAGAGAGCCAGCCCTGACTAGAGGGCAGGAAGGAAGCCTGACTGATTGACAAGAGAAGGGATTTGAACCAACAAGTAAATCAATTTGAGCCCCATTCGCTGGGAGATGGTCAAACACCCATGGCTGAGCAGCTGATGGTTTGAGAACAGAACATAAAAGTGGGAAGCACTGATGACTAGGAAATGGTATTTAGAGTACAGCTGTATAAACAAAGTCAGTGCTGAGAAGTTACTCTGAGCAGGAGGAGATAGCCTGAGAAAAAAAAACACAGGTCTTATCAGAGATGCCTGCTTTTTTCTGCAGGCACATGCTTTTGAAGTTCTTTTTAGGACTGAAAGGTTTTCCAGAAAAACTGTGTGTGGTTTGTGACAGGCTGTAGAAGGGTAGTGGCTTTGCTGTCAGAGAGTCTCAAAGCTATGCTGGATTGGAAAGCAAAGCCAGCCCAGATTGTGAAGCCTGCAGCCCAGAAAGGATATGGTTAAAGCAGTGCCATTAGAGTTGTAAGGGTCTATCAAAGGAAAGAGCAGGGTCCAGCCAAAGTTTGTGAGAGTATAGAAAGTCAGGAATTCACAGCTTGAAAGGTGTGTGAAGCAGAGTCAGTGACTTGTGGCCCAGGAGGGGCCAGAAGAGACTGAAACCAGATGGGTCTAGAGGCTCAGAGTGAAGCCGAGAGAGAGGGAGAGAGAGAGAGAGATCTGATGAGAAGTCTGACAGCCCAAAAGGCTCTGAGTATCAGTGGGGCTAGAGAGCCAAGGGTCTGCAGACCAGAAGAGACAAGTGTTAGCAGGGCCAGATGCCAAGGTCTCACTGGCCCAGCAGCAGGGCCAGGACCCAGAGAGGGGTCAAAGTCTGGGGGACACAGCTGGAGACCCAGGGGATCCAGGAGCTCATAACCCAGAGGGGTCTGGAAGAACCCTGAAAGACCAAGTGGTCTGGTAATCCAGGGGTGGAGTCAAAAGGGGATGATTTAGTCAGCGACCTGAGAATTGAGGGGAAGCTAGGAGACAGTGACCATGAGTTGATCGCTTTCTCTATTCACCGCAAAGGTGGCAAGTCAGTGAGCAATACAGAAGTCCTTGACTTTGGAAAGACCGACTTCCACAAGCTTAGGAGGCTAGTTGTTCAAGCCTTGAGAAACCACAATCTGGCAGGGAGGAATGTCCATGATGAATGGTCGCTCCTCAAGAATGCAATCCTTGAAGCACAAGGGAAGTCCATTGCAACCCACAGAAAAAGTAGCACAAGGGCTGGATGACCCCCTTGGCTCAATAGGGAAGCTTATAAAGGATGGAAGATGGGAAACATCACTAAGGAGGAATACTCATGCTGGCCTGGACCTGTAGGGAGCAAACTAGGAAAGCCAAGGCTGAAATGAAGCTCAAACTGGCCACTCAAATTAAAGACAACCAAAAGTCCTCCTTCAAATATGTGGGAAGTTGGAAAAAGAACAAGGGTAACATTGGACCCTTACTAAATCAGGTGGGGCAGCTGCTAACTGACACTCAGGAAAAAGCCAATCTTCTTAATGACTACTTTGTGTCGGTCTTCCATCAGCCCAGTGGGATCACCCTGCCTGACAAAAGGCAAGATCACCAGGGGAAGGATGAACCTGCACCCACCATTACCACTGATCTTGTAAAGGAACATCTTAAGAGGCTGGACATCCACAAATCAGCTGGCCCAGATGGAATGTACCCAAGAGTGCTAAAGAAACTAGGTAACATTATAGCACAGCCCATGGCGAGGATTTTCGAGAACTCATGGCGCTTGGGCGAGGTGCCTGACAATTGGAAGAGGGCCAATGTGATGCCTATCTTCAAGACAGTGAGAAGGGAAGATCCAGGGAACTACAGGCCAATTAGCTTGACCTCAGTCCCTGGAAAGATCCTGGAAAAAATCATTAAGGAAACCATTAGCAACAGCCTAACAGAAGGTAATATTCTGAGAGATAGCCAACATGGCTTTATGGCAGGTAGATTTTGTCTGACCAACCTGATCTCCTTCTATGACCAGGTGACGCATCACCTGGACAAGGAGAAGAGATGGATATCATATTCTTGGACTTCAAGAAAGCCTTTGACCTGGTGTCCCATGATGTCCTTATGGAAAAATTAGGGAATTGCGACCTAGACAATTTCACGGTCCGATGCCTGGGGAACTGGCTCCGTGAACGGACCCAGAGAGTGACAGTTGATGGAGCCAAATCAACTTGGTGCACTATAACCAGTGGTGTCCCTCAGGGCTCCGTTCTTGGAACTGTACTCTTCAATGTATTTATAAATTATCTGGACTTGGGTGTTACAAGCAGACTGGCTAAATTTGCTGATAACACTAAACTATAGAGAAGTGCAGCCAGCCCAGAAGATAGACTGGCAATCCAGGCCAACCTTGACAGGCTTACAAGGTGGCCGGATCAAAACCTCATGGCATTCAATGCCAAGAAATGCAAGGTGCTCTACCTTGGGAGGAAGAACCCACACTACACATATAGCCTTGGCAGTGCATCTGAAAGAGACTTGGGGATCATGATTGACCATAAGATGAACATGAGCCACCAATTTGTTGCTGCAGCCAGAAAAGCAAACAAAACTCTGGCCTGCATCTTCTGATGCATCTGAAACAAGACCCAGGAAGTCATTTTCCCACTTTACTCGGCCCTGGTGAGACCACAGCTGGAATACTGTGTCCAGTTCTGGGCTCCGCAGTTCAGAAAGGATGTGGAGAAGCTCGAGAGAGTCCAGAGGAGAGCCATGCAAATAATTAGAGGACAAGAGGGCAGGCTTCATGAGGAGAGGCTGAGAGGCATGGGACTCTTCAGCCTGATGAAGCATAGGCTCAGAGGTGACGTGGTGGAGCCTATAAGTATATAAAGGGTGTACACCAGGAACTGGGAGAATGACTGTTCATCAGAGCACCCCATGGGAAGACTAGGTCCAATGGTCATGAGCTCTTGGAAGACCGTTTTAGGCTGGACATAAGGAAAAACTTCTTTACTGTCCAAGTCCCCAGGGCCTGGAATAAACTCCCCCCAGAGGTAGTGCAAGCAGCTACTCTGGATTCCTTTAAGAAACACTTGGATGCCTATCTTGCTGGGATCATTTGACCTCTGCTGACTGCCTGCCCTTTGGGCAGGGGGCTGGACCTGATGATCTTGTGAGGTCCCTTCCTGCCCTAATGTCTATAAAATCTATGAAATTCTGCACCGCACTGTTGTAATGAGGAAATGACTGGAATCCAGGTCCTTTCATAGCATATGAGTATGAAGGAGCACAAAACAGTCTTATAGGAAAGTTTGTGTGATTTACAAGTATATTCCGTAGCTCACTTTGTAGTCATCTGAGTTAGTCCTGATGTTTCCAGTCTCCTTTCCACCCTGAAAAATGTCTGCAAGCCATGTTTTAATGGAAAGATATAGCACATATGGTTCTTCCAATTCAGCATGATAATGCAACGATATAAAGAGCTGAATGAGGAAGAAGAGAAATAACATTAAAATCCTGTAAATGCTTAAAATATTTTGAAAGTGGCATTGAAGAACAATTGCTCCAAGTAAAAAAGTCCTTTTCTTAAAAGCATTGCAAGGGTTTCTCTTTCCTCAAATGGCTTAAATCACTGAGAAGATGGAGGAGTTTTACACTTGAGCTTTGGGCTTGTGCACGCTACAGTGATACAGTTAAAGAAGTACAACTCTGTTAGCATGGATTCAGTCATACTGT